TGTGGCATGATAGAAGGTGTTTCTATTTTTTTTTTTTTTTTTAAGATTTTATTTATTTATTTGAGAGAGAGAATGGTGAGAAGAGAGCACGTTCCGGGGGGGACAGGGAGAAGCAGGCTCCCTGCTGAGCAGGGAGCCGGACATGGGGTTTGAACCCAGGACCCTGGGATCATGGCCTGAGCCACTCAGGTGCCCAGAGCTGTTTGTATTTTTGTGTATGTTGTAATTATACTTAAAATTGTCTGTAAAGATGAAGGCTGAGTTTGTGCTATCAGTTACTGAAGTAGGTGTATTAAAATCTCACATGGTCGTAGATCTGACAGTCTCCCTAGAGTTCTGTCCATTTTAGTTTTATGTATTTTGAAAGTCTCTTAGTTGATATACAAGATTTTAAATTGTTAATACCTTCCTGATGAACTAACCTTATTACTGTGCCGTGCCCCTCTTTATCTCTTTTAGTGCTGTTTTACCTTGTCTATTTTATCTGCTATAATATGCCAAAACAGGCTTTCTTTTAGTTAGTATTTGTATGATCATTTTTTTCCATCCAAAATTTACGTCCAGCTTTTCTGTACCTTATATTTTAGATTAAAACAGCATATGATAAGGTTTGTTTTGTTAAATACAGCGTGAAGTCGTTTTTTTAAATGAAGTATTTGGTCTGTTTACATTTAATTTAATTACTGGTGTATTTGAGTTTGTCTTTTTTTCTGGAGGTTATTATTGATCCACCCATTCTGCATTTCTTTTTCTCTCCTTTGCTGTGTTCATTCTCTCTCTTTCTCTCTCTGTCTCTGTCATTTTTTCTCCTACTTTTAAGATTTTATTTATTTATTAGAGAGAGAGGGAACACAAGCAGGGGGAGGGGGAGAGGGAGAAGCAGGCTTCCCGAGGAGCAGGGAGTCCGATGCAGGGCTCGATTCCGGGACCCTGGGATCATGACCCGAGCCGAAGGCAGCCACTTAAGCAACTGAGCCATCCAGATGCCTCGGTAGGGGCTTGCTTTTTAATTTTTTTTAATTTTTACTTTTAAAAGATATGTTTGTTTATTTTAGAGAGAGAGAGCGTGCACTCAGATGCAAGTGGGGGGAGGGCAGAGGGAGAGAGAGAATCTTTTTTTAGAATTCCTGCTTTTTGAGGGCAGGGATTTTTTTTTTTTTTCAAGATTTTTTATTTTTTATTTGAGAGAGAGGGAGAGCACAAGCAGGGGGAGCGGCAGGTAGAGGGAGAGGGAGAAGCAGGCTCCCCACTCAGCGGGGAGCCCGATGCGGGGCTCGATCCCAGGACCCTGGAATCATGACCCGGGCCGAAGGCAGCCTCTTAACCAACTGAGCCACCCAGGCGCCCAGGAGAGAGAGAATCTTAAGCAGACTCCTCGCTGAGCAGGGAACCTGACTTCAGGGCTCTATCCCAGGACCCTGAGATCCCAACCTGCCCAAAATCAGGAGTCAGATGCTCAACTGACTGAGCCACCCAGGCGACCCAGTGACTTGCGTTTTTAAAGTAGGCGTATTTCTCATGAGTTACCCGTTCCCTTGTAGTGTGGTTGTTTGTCGTGCACCTGAGCTGTGAATGCAGAATCACTTGTATTTCTGTGCTACCCGCACAAGAGTCATGAAGTAAGCTAAGTAGTTGGTTCTACACAGTT